TTTCTGTTTTTGATTTAAAAAAAATCTCATAAGCAAACAACCATACAAATGCTAATTATAGATATAGTAGAAAATGAGGTAAATTATAATAATCTTTAAGTTTACATCTTTGGTATATATCCATCTATGTGTTTGTGTGTATGTACATATGCAAATATATACATACACATACATATATATTTTAAAAAGCAACTATATAATCATATTATACAATTTTTTTCTTTTTTTTTATAAGCATGTTGAACACGAGGTTTATTTTAACTATGAGTCCTCTATGTGCTATACTGACAGTAGATACAGGACCAGAATAAGGTTGTAAATATTCATACACGTGTAAAAAAACTACAACTTACACATACTTTATTTAGTTGATTGAAAGCCTTGTGGTACATAAAATGCTTTCTATAGTTGATCTCAGCTTTGTTCCCACCGAAGTGAGTTGTATCTGGGTTTTCTGTGCTCAAGACTGCTCAATCGCTGCTGCTGCCGCTGTTGGTTTGTTTTCTTTCAGGATCAAGGTGGGTACTTTCATATAAAATCTTGTTTTTAATTCCTTCTCTGTCAAGTCTTTCCTGGATTCTTAGCTTTGCATAATTATACCTGCAGTGGAACCAGCAACCTAGTCACCAAGATAAATCCTCACACTCCAGCGTCACATGATCTTCTAATTCTACCTTCCCCTTCCCGGGCTCCCCGTGATCCGGCGCATCCGCCAAGGGGACAGTCTCCCTACAAACTTTTTAAACATGATTTTCTCACGGGAATATATTTAGATACATGAAAAAAAAATTCGTTCTTTAAAATAATACGTGACTATAGCAAATATCTAAATGGTAAAGAAGACATAAAAAGAAAAACAGTTCCTCTCTAATTCTACTTCCCAGAGTTAAATAAAATTACTCACTTAAAAGCTAAGTAGTATCCTATTATGTAACTGTACCATAGCATATTTAACAGTTACCTTATTATGGATATTTATCTGATTTGCTACAGTTATAAATAATGCTGCAGCAAATGTCTTGTATATGTCAAGTAAGTTCTTGAGCTTTTTATTTTTCTCAATTTCCAGGAAAAGAAAGTCTAATCCTTCCCTAACTTTCCCATTTTTAGTACTTTGACCTCTCTACCCCTACTCCTCAAATTTCATATACATAACAAATGTCAAAAAAGGGTTGGAAAAAGAAACATAACAAAACGTGTAACACATAGCAAGAAACATTTGATGCCAAATTATCTGTGTATGGGAGAATGAGTTAATGTTTCAAAGAGGAAGGGAAAATACAGTTTTAATCCTGGATATTGCAAGGGTGGAAAGAAAGAAAAGGCTCAATTGGAATTTACTGCCTTTAATTACATTTAAAGGAATGACTTTTAATTCTGACAGCTCAGGAAAATGGAATATAAGTTAAGAGTCCTTTGGATTTTGGATATGTTAATTTAAGTCCTGACTTTGCTTCTTACTAATCATCTGTACTCAGAAATAGTCAATGCCTCTGAGTCAGTTTTCTCATCTGTAAAATAGGTTTAATAATAGTGCCTTATGGGATTGGGAAAAATTAAATGTGATAATGCATGCATAGCTGAATTCCTAGCACATTGTAAATATAATGTAATTTATATATATATATAGTATTATATATTTAGCTACAAGACCAAAAAAACCCTTTAATATCTAAACGTGAAATGTAGTGATCAAGCTGTAATCCTGAGTATGCATTCTTTTTTTTTAGCAATTAAAATATTTCATGGATAATAATTTTGCTTTCTTATTACTTTATGTGACAGAAAGTAGAGTACTTTGAGAAAAGTTTAATAGGCCAGAGGCTGAAATATATAAGAATTTGCAGAGGAATAATATGATTCCAGGAGGAAAAATGGAAAAAAACCGCCTGATGGCGTTTTTTGTCTTTGGGTGAGGATTATTCTATGAGGGGCAGAGGATGCGAACATTCTATACTGTGACCTGGTTAAGATTTGTTATAGAATTGTCAAGTGAACTGAACAATATATATTTTTGAACAATATCGTTTATCCTTTGTATACTGTACAGTTTAAAAAGCATTTTCACATAAATGAACTCATTTGATTCTTGCAGCAGCCTTATTGCGTGGGCAGGGCGAGCATCAGGAGCTCATCTTCGCTAACCAAGATTCCATAGAACGAGGGCCTTGCACAAATTTATAAAGCTAGATCTTCTGATGTTTAGTCCAGAGTTTTCTCCGTTGCACGCTCGTTTTTCCCTTTCTACACTCAGTCATTCCACAAGCATTTACTGAACTCCAGGATGATATCAAGGTAACAGACTAACTTCGGCCCAACCCCATACCCCTTTCAAAGCTATCCCAGGGGAAAAAGAAGCCCATCAAAGACATTCCTGAGAAAACCGATGTTCATCTGCGTATAGAAGACAATGAAAAAAGGTCAGTGTGGCAGAATTAGCGTTGAACTGAAATTGACAGTTCCTGCGGCGCGAAACAGGGACTCTCCCGACAGACAGCAGGAGGGTGTCATCTCGGGTGGGTGGCAAGCTGCACGGGGCCAAGTGGCGGAATGGCGGCCGGAGGGCAGCGAGCGCGGTGTGCGTCCCCGGGGCCGCGGGAGGCGCGCGGCGTGTCCCCAGGGAGCGCGGGGCCGGTGGCGCGGCTCCTCCGGCGCAGCTCATCCCCGGCGGCGCGGCCCGCGGCTCGGCTCCGCCCGCTCCTCCTTAACCCGCGCGGGGAGGCGGCGGCGGCGGCGGCGGCGGCGGCGGCCGGCCGGGCGGGCGGGGGCGGGGGAGGAGCGCCGAGCGCGGCGCGGAGGCCGGGGAGGAGCCGGGGCCTGCAGCGGAGCAGAGCGGAGCCCGAGCCCCGGCCGAGTCTTGACACCGTCCGTCCGCCTCCTGGTTCCCCGGGAGCCCGGACTGGCCGGAGCCCGAGCGGTGGAGGCGCGGGGAGCGCCACGCGCCGGCGGGAGCGGACGGGACGGGACCAGAGAAGAGGCGCGGCCGCCGCCGCAGCAGTGACGGGCGTCGGGAGCCGCGGCCTCCCGGCCCCAGCTGCCCAGGCCAGCTCCGGGAGAGCGGGGAGTACGAGAACCCCACCCTCGGGGGCGCCCCAGGAGCGGAGGCGGGAGCGGGGACGGGAGCCACCTCTCCCCCGGCCGGAGAGATGACCCTTCGCGTTCGGGCGAGGGAAAGAAGAGACCTCTCTAGGGGACGAGTCTCTTCTTCCTAGAGGCGAGGAAGATCCCTGTGCCGGCCCGGGGATGGAGCTCCCGAAGTAGAGGGGTTGGTCCTTACCAAAGGCAGCAAGTGAGACCGCCCCGGCGAGCCTCCACTCCTCCAAACCCACTCTCCTCAGCTCTGGACTTTTGAGGCATAAAGGAAGGGGGATATGCCTATGGAGTAGACACCCTCCATCCCACCCACAGGGGAGAGGACTCCTTTTACACTCAGCGGCAGGGGACACTCCAGGGAGAGAAGAGGACTCAGCTCTCAGCCTTTCAGGAGAGGGGAAGAGCTCCCCCCAACTTCCTTGTACCTAGACGGTGGAACAGGGCAGAGCCCCTCCGCTCAGATCTCCAGCGGACAGAAAGAGCCCTCCACTCCCGACAGATTCAGTTTGGGGGGGAGGGGGACTCCCCCAAGGGGGAGGAGACAACTCCCGGTTGGGAGAGGCTCCTCCCCTCGTCCCCAGGGTCACCGGCCGAGTGTGGGGACTGTGCCACCTTCCCCAGGTGGGACCGCCTTCTCCTCCCCCTCCCCCTCCCCCCGCCCCTCCTCAGGGGACCCAGTTCCCCTCCCCAGCTTGGGAGGCTCAGCCAAGTACAGGAAGAGCCACTGAGGATGAGACTCTTCATCTGCCTCTGAAGAGGGGAGTCCCTCCAACCCCAAACTCCAGTACCGAGTGGTCCTGTCCCTCTGCTGGGGGAGACTTGGAGACAGGTCAGTGCTTTCTTTCTTTCATCTTCTCTCTGTCATCTTTAGGTACTAGTGGGTGTAGGGGGCTGAGATGGTGTGACTCTTGGGTTTCATTACTGGGGAAGGTAGAGTAACAACTCAGAACCTTCTGGGAAATGTGTTCTGAAGCTACTGGATTCAAGCCCTCATCTTGCTGCAGAGGCTCTGAGAAATGGGTTTCTTAGTGTTGGGGGACTAAAGGGATGGGATTCATCTGAGGTCCCTAGGGACGCGTATGTTTTCATGCTGAGGGCAACAGGATATCAGAAAACACTGTACCTTCAGCACTCCATCCACACAGTGTAATAATGATGGCAGGCCACGTCCCAGCCAGACTCCCGTGCCACTCTCCATCCTTGGGCCTTTTCATGCAGAGAGTGGGCTCCCACTAAAGTCGTGGTGGCATTTGGTGTCCTGGCCTTGTCTGGGGCTTGGTGTTACATTTCCTTACCTGTGACCCGAGGTCACTTAATGCCCACCAGAGCTGTTCTGTGCACCCCACTGGGATCACTGCTCCCTTGACAAGAAAACCAGCCTGTCTCCACTCACCCTGCCTCCAGCACCAAGAGGCCACGGGGAAAATGGGGATCCCATGTCCCGAGGCAAGAAAAAAGGGTGCAGGGGAATGCCAGCCCTGGGTTGAAGCTCTTCCCTAATGTTGGCCGGGTACCACTGCCCCAGTGCCCTACACCGCTCCTGTCTTGCTGACGGTTCCCCAGGAAAAAGCAGATCCTGGAGAGGAGGAGAGGAGGGTTGCTGCCCAGCCTCCTTCCAGCCTTGCATCAAAATCAGTTGACTGGGGCTTCCCTGGTGGCGCAGTGGTTGAGAGTCCACCTGCCGATGCAGGGGACACGGGTTCGTGCCTCGGTCCGGGAAGATCCCACGTGCCGCGGAGCGGCTGGGCCCGTGAGCCATGGCCGCTGAGCCTGCGCATCCGGAGCCTGTGCTCCGCAACGGGAGAGGCCACAACAGTGAGAGGCCCGCGTACCGCTAAGGAGAAAAAAAAAAAAAAAAAAAAGCAGTTGACTGCCAGGGAGATTTGAGCCCCCAAGGAGTTTCCTTTCAGAAAAGCACCTAATAGTCTCACCCTTTGCCTTCCTGTTTCTTGTTCAATTCTGGGTCTCTGGAACCTTGTATGTAAGTTTTCTTTCATAAGATAATAGCAGGAATCATCAAAGTCCAGACTGTCCAGAAAAGGCAAGAAAAAGGTGCCAGGAACTCCTTCTGGCTGAGCCTGGGCTATGGGTTTAGTAGTGCTCTGCCTTTCCATCTGGGATCCCTAGCTGGGTGCCTGCTTTCCTGCCTCACCTTTAGGAAGTACCTCGTCTCCTGTAAGGGGCATTAGACCCCACAGAGAGTCTAAGTGGGAGGCTTCATCTTATTTGGGTTTTGATGTTTCCTCCATTCTCTGTCTGGGCATTGGGTGGACTGAGTCTCTAAGTACATCCACTGGGTCCTGGAAGTTACCTGTTAGTCATGGTCAGTGAGACAGGGCTCTAATTCAGGTTTGTATGGCTGTGCTGTAGAATGATGCGCGTCTGTTTCTTACTTCAGGTGGATGTGGCTCTATCCACATCCGTGCAAGGTGTGGGGACAGGTACGTGTGTGCTTTTCAGACTAAGCCTCCAGTTACCTAAAACTGTGCATTTCTGGTAGGCCTCTAAGAGCAGGTGCCCCTGTGTAGGAACGTGGAGAGGGTGCTGGTGAGAATGCCCAGCTGGGAGGAAAGGCTTGGCCTGCGCTGTCCAGTGGGAGCCCTCATGAATGGCTGCATGAGAGTCATCCCACGCGGCAGGGCAGCGCAGTCTCAGGCTAGGACCGCTTCTTCTAGGACTGATAAGAGAGCTCCATTTCAGACGTTTCTGGCCTAAATAGCATGAGGATCCTTGGTTCTTAACTCTAGAACTCCCTCCCCCATTTTTTGAAAAGAGCCAGCTCTGTGGAACAGCAGACTGTTTCTCACAAAGTACTTTACCAGATGCTGGAATGCTACTTGTTGAATGGCTCAGAGCGAGCTGGACCACAACACCTGCAGGTGTCTCACTGCCACACAGTGTAACTGGCCCTGCTGGGACTGAGTTTCCCTAGTTCTCCTTGCCTCCGTGGAATCAGTTAGAAGCATATGGCTATTGAGTTGGAGTAACTATGACTTAGAGGGTGTTATTTTCCAGATCATGTTTTATGACTAGACCTAGTTCCCCCTGAAAAATAAGGGATGATATTCCCCCATTTCTTCATCCTGGGGAGTTTACTAGTCCTGGCATTGGTCAGTCCCGGGGCGACACTCCCCACAAAGGAAAAGTTTGAGATTCTGACATCCTGAAAACTATTGAGAACTCAGTGCGGGTGTAAACCACTGCAAGTTCGCTACTTCCAGGCTTACCTGTATGGTCTGTCCATTTTCTAATTTTCAATTTCTAATATTCTCCTTTTTTTCTCATTCAAAAATGGTAATTGCTATACTTACATAACACTAGTGCTTTAAAAATTTTAACTCAAGGTAATCCTCCCAACCACCCTATGTAGGTACGGTTATCACCTCTGTTTTCCAATGGAGAAACTACGACACAGAGAGGTTAAGTAACTTGCCTGAGGTTGCACAGCCAGTAGGTAGTGAAGCCAGGATTGAAACCCAGGCAGCCTGGCTGGTAATCGGTAATGTGGCAGACTTAGCCACTGCTCTATTAGTTTCTGCGTTATGTGCAGAGCAGGAAGTTATCATTCCTTAATGTCTGACCTTGGCACCATACAGAGAACAATTACTGACCTTTCAGAGAAAATGGGAAGAAAACTGTGCCTATTATTTTGGGTCTTATATGTCTCACCCAGGATCAGCCCCCGCCCCCCCCAACATAGAATGTCTTTCTGTTCTTCTCTGCCTTTCTCCCAATAGTGTGGTGTTCATTAGACGTTCCATGGATGTGATGGAGCCTGCCCTTTGGCTGCCTTTCCCAGTTTCTATGGGTATTTCCTTTCAGTCTTCCAGCTCGAAGAGAAGAATGTAGCCTGACTCAGGTTCTGCCCCAGCCCAGTGGCACGAGGCCCACCTGGAGAGAGAGGTCTGGGTAACTAGGTTGGTTGGACTGAGAAATGGAAGTACCTTTTGTGTGCCTTTCTAATAATAGCCCTGAACATTAGCCTGGTGCCATTATTTTGGGGAGTGTGGAATGTGTGGCAGCCACTGGCTCTTCAAGCTTCTTTCACGTCCCTCCAGGAATGAAGCTTGGACAGTGTTTATGACTGCATCCCTTTTACTGATAGGGGGAAACTGAGGCAGGAAGATTTCAGGGAGCAAGGGGCGGTTCGGGACCTTTCGTGAGTTAATGTCAAGGTTTGGAATAGAATCAAGGAACCTCATTCTCTGAGGTTCCACATACTGGGCTGCCCTTCAAGAATGGGGAAGTGATGGGGGTGAGGAAATGGGATGGGTTTAGGGAGAATGGTGCTGAAAGATCACAAGGATCTTTCGCTGAGTCTATGGGAAGATATTTTGAGTGCTGGGGCGGTATCTGGAGGGCTGGCTGGGAGGGTGCTGGAGAAAGGTTAAATTTAACCTCAGTGTCCTAACCTGGTACTGGGGAAGTGCTAGGGAAGGGCATAGAACAAGTAGCAAAAGGCCAAGGGTGCTTCGCTTTCCGGAATTCACGGTGATTGGCACTGCCAAATGGGTTCTGTAAACCACGTTGATTGTACTCTCGTGTCCCTCCCTGTCCAATGTCTGGAGAGTTTTAAATGAAATGTGCCCTGAAGGCTTCTGTGTACTTAAGGTGAGACTTCCCAAGGAGCTTTAGCAGGAGACAATAGGGAATAGGGTAAAACTTCCTTACAGACCCAGGAGGCCCCTGGTCATCGTGAACCCGCTCATCGCCATGGCACCGATCAGCTGGGATAACCCAGCTACAGGACCAGGTGGCTGCCCATCGCACCCTGCTTTACCCCAGAAGCTGTGCTGCTTTGACTTAGTAAAGCGCTAGGAGGTCTGAGGCTTCCTGGAATGCTTAAATGTCCCTATTAGTTTCCAAGTTTCCGTGGTTTTAGGGCAAGATGGTGGTGGTGGGATGGCAAGGAGAGTGGTGGGGAGAGGAGCTAAGGATAAAGGGGAAACCCCATGGTGGTGCTGTTTCTGAACAGGGCCTTTAAAGTTTTTTCTCCTGTCAAGCAATTCTTGGGTTGCAGTTGGGTCTCACGCTGCCCAAGCCCCCGAGGCGTTTCCTCGAGCCTTCGGGAGTGGGCGTGTTGCTGGCGAGGAGCGCAGGGCAGGGGACATGCGCGTGCTTGCAGAGACTGCGTGGGTGGGGAACTTGGGGAATTGGGAGATGAGTGAGAATGCTGACCCCTCGGAGAATGTCTCCGGGGAGAAGCGTCTCTAACTAGAAGAGGGAGCCAATAGCCTGAAAGATGTGTTGGAGGCGGAGACTGGGGTAGGCAGGCATATCTGCGATTGAGCTTCTAACTACAAAGTGTGTGGATGTGTGTGTAGTTGTATGTGACGCTGGTGCGTATTATCTGGGTGTGGATTTAGAGGTTATATACGGAATAGGTTTTCTGTCCAGGATTCTGAGGCATGTTAGCCTTGGACGCCTCGATGGACCCTCAGCAGGGGTCCGAGGAAGAAATCCTAGCTGGAATCTGGCCGGCTGTGCAGGCACGAGCCGGTCAGGCAGCAAGCGCTTGCGGGGTGGCTGGCATCGACCCCAGGGGAGAGCCAAATGGCTACCAAGTGGTTCCTGCCTGCCTTTCCAGATTCTGCGATACAGATCTCACCCACCGTTCTTCACCTTCCCCCACCGAGACGTCACTCTAGCTGCACCTCTCCGCCTGCAAGAGCGCCCAGGCTGCGTGGGTGGCAGCCGGGCGTGCAGACAGCAGGCGTGGGCGGGTTGGCAGCGTCAGGAGTTTGCATGGAGGTGCAGCGAGCGTGCGTGCCAGGCCGGGAAGGAAGGAGAGAGGAGGAGGGCGGGAGAAGGGGAGCTAGCCCTTAGCCCCAGAGTGGTTATTTTTAGCCCGGAGATCTGATTGTTACCGGTGAGCGCGCAGCTGGGTGTCTCCCTGGCTCAGTGCAGCAGGGCAGGCCGAGAGGTGGGAGGGCTTTGCCAATGACTTCTTCCTGGTGTCGGTGTCTGTGGGCGGGAGCTCGCCAGGGGAAGCTTTAAAGGTGCCAGGGCAGCTGTGCTCGGGCTCCGTTCGCTCTGTGTGTGACTTTGTGCCCTATGGGTAACGTTATAACGTGTATCTCATTGTGATCTCTGGTCGTGAGCCACTGTTGATGTGTCTGTCTTGCATCTGTGCTTGGCTGGTTGTCACATGTAACTTATGTTGGGAAGTATGTAATATGCCTCATGTGCACGCGTATGTGCGATAAAAAGGGTGAGCACTGGTATGGAACTGACGTGATACATCTTTAGAAGTGTTGGTGTGTGCTTCATTAGTGTATACTTGTGTTTACTCTGTTTTTCTTTGCACATTCACCCGTGCTATCTATCTGTGGATGTTGAATGTACATATAATAAGCATCACATAATTGGAGAATAGACTTTGGCTGATTTTACCTATTTATTTTATTTTATTTTTAAAATTTATTTCTACATAGTTTAAAAAAATTATGTTATAGGGCTTTAAGTGAGAAGAATTGAGGGAATAGCTCAGTTTGGTGGGCGGTTTGATCTCCTTTTTAGTCCTGTGCGAAGGGAGAGGCCTCTTGGCCGTGTTCCACGTGAAGGTGTAGAATAAGTACCAGTGTATCACCTGGTAGGTAGCTGGTGACATATCCCTTTGGGGGTTCTGGTAACACCTGGTCGAGGGCTATCCCAGGGGAGGAGTCTTCTACAGGAATTAGAGTGGGAAGAACCTCTCCTTCCCTTAAAGCCCTAGGATTTGTGTATTACTTGCCACCAGTAACCACAGGTAATATTTGTCTATTCTGTTTTCCTCTTCTCTACAGAACCCAGAAGTACCATGGCTTCTGACCTAGAGAGTAGCCTCACCTCCATAGACTGGCTCCCCCAGCTGACCCTCCGGGCTACCATTGAGAAGCTTGGGAGTGCCTCCCAGGCTGGGCCTCCAGGCGGCAGCCGCAAGTGTCCACCAGGCTCACCCACAGATCCTAACGCCACCCTGAGCAAAGATGAGGCAGCCGTCCACCAGGATGGCAAACCCCGATACAGCTACGCCACCCTCATCACCTATGCCATCAACTCCTCTCCAGCCAAGAAGATGACCCTCAGTGAGATTTACCGCTGGATCTGTGATAACTTCCCCTATTACAAGAATGCTGGCATTGGTTGGAAGGTGGGACGGCTTCTATACCCTGAGATGATTCTTAGCCTTGACAACCTTTTCCTCTACTTTTATTTCTTCCTATAACCTGTTCCAGTTCACTCTGAGCGTCTCAGAGATGTGTGAACTTAAAAATCTCAAATCTCCCATCCGTCACTTTTTTTCCAGAGTTGAACAACTTCCATAAGGTGTATCGGGGAAACGCCAGGGATCCCGAGCCACTAAGTATAGTTATGGGGGCAACAGGATGCTGACGCTTATCAGACCCTCTTACCCTCTGGTTCATTTCACAGATATTTATTGCCACTCTACTCTGTTGAAGTCACGTGCAAAGCGTGGCGTTGCTCCATCCTACCTAGAGGTAGCATCTCATCAGGTTTGCAGAGCTTCATTCCACATAGTCAGCATCTTTTGAAAAATTGTGTACGAAGAAAAAGAGTAATATAATTAGGTTCTTCCCCCACAGCTCATCCACCATGCAAGGAAGGAGAGGATAAGTTGTTTGGCTGGAGATAAAGGAAAAAGGGGCCTCCTCTTCCAAGCAAAGAGGGAAGACTGATATTCTCAGTCCTTTGGAGCAATCACTCACTTGCCAGTTGTTGAGTAGGAATGGGGATTTAATGTAGGTCTGTCACTCTGTAAATCACCGACTGACACACAGACCAGATGATGAGCTGGAGACTGTTGAAAGCATTTAGTGTTTCCTTTAGAAATATGTTCCTGCTAGCTGCCATAGCCTCCAACCACCTCATCCAAGACATGTAGCAACAATATTTCTTTCCTCCAAGTGTGACCATTCCATGGGCTGTTGAGAAGACAAAGGCAAAGTGTGCCTTGTTTCACTCATAATTTATATTTTGTTATCATTTACATCATCAGTTTTTGCTTTTTTTTTTTTCCCCCTTGGCCACACCACTCGACTTGTGTGATCTTAGTTCCCCGAGTAGGGATCAAACCCACGCCCTTGGCAGCGAAAGCTCGAGTCCTAACCACTGGACCGCAGGGGAATTACCACGTCATCAGCTTTAAAACACTGTTTTTTCACTACTGATAGAATGAATTAAGGAACTGGGCAGATGTGATTTTTTTTTTAATTGAAGTATAGTTGCTGTACAATATTATGTAAGTTATAGGTGTACAATATAGTGACTCCCAATTTTTAAAGGTTATACTCCGTTTATAGTTATTACGAAATATTGGCTGTATTTCCCATATTGGACCATATAGCCTTGCAGCTTATTTTATACACAATAGCTTGTACCTCTTACTCCCCTATTCCTATATTGCCCCTACTCCCCTCTCCCCACTAATAACCACTAGTTTGTCCTCTATATCTGTGAATTTGCTTCTTTGTTGTTTTATTCCCTAGTTTGTTGTATTTTTTCAGATTCCACATGTTAGCGATATCGTACAGTATTTGTCTTTCTCTGTCTGACTTATTCCACTAAGCATAATGCTCTCCAAGTCCATCCATGTTGCTGCAGATGCAAAGTTTCATTCTTTACTATGGCTGAGTAATATTCTGTTGTGTGTGTGTGCGTGTGTATGTGTGCACACACCCCACATCTTCTTTATCCATTCATCTATTGATGGACACTTAGGTTTGGGCAGACGTGATTTTGAGGCATTTATATGCCTGTTGTTAGTTGGGTGGAAAGATTGAAAAACTATATAATCAGCTTTCTAGAAGCACCTGATAGTCAAATTTACAGCCATTACCTCTCATCAATTTAATTGCTTCCTTTTTCTTATCTCATTGCTCTTGCTATCTGATACGTAATCTCCTCCATCAGTATAGTTAAGAGGTGCTCTGTTCACCCTGATACTGGAACTTTAGTGTGTGTTATATCCCTTTGTGTCCCTCTGTGCACTACTGGACAATTTTGTGCTTTGCACGATGCTCAAATCTAACTTGCTTCTCTGCTTCCCCAGAATTCAATTCGGCACAACCTTTCTCTCAACAAGTGTTTCCGGAAGGTGCCCAGACCTCGGGATGATCCTGGGAAGGTGAGATTCTGCTGTAAGCGGTGAAGGGAGGGGAGGAAGGAGCGAGAAGTAGTTGACAGCTTAGAGTCCTGTGGCTGTTTTAATTACCCAGAAGAGGAAATCATGTTAATTAGAGAAGCAGCTTTATTTTTTTCCTCAAAGGAAGAGCTTGGTTATCAAGCTGGTGGGTCCCCATGAGAGTGAATGACTAAGGAAGACTGAAATTTTTTTTAAATAGAAATATTTATTTAAAAAATGGACCTTGATGCCCCCTTTTTTGTGCATGGTGCTCTTTCTAGATGTAAAAGGTGGGCTTAATAACCTTTGTAGGAGTTTTTCTGTATAAAAATCCCATGATTTTACCTTCAAAAGGGAGAAGGGATAGATCATCCTCTTTGTTTGACAGCTGTGGATGCTGAAGTCCAAGAGAGTTTTGCCTCAGATCATGTGGAAGGGAAGGGTTGGTCTGGACATTTCCAGCTCTTTGAACTAGATGCTGTGTTCTGTCCCTCTAGAATGATCGAGGCCTCAGTGAGCTGTTAGGACAAATTTAGTCCTCAAAAATAGCTGGTACCCTCAGGATTACAGTCCTGTGAATTTACAGTTATTTTTCTTTTCTTTCTTTTTTTAAGGTTCCAGATAGATGATCTTCTTTAATGTTAATGTTATTTATTTATTTTTTAAAATTGAAGTATAGTTGAATTTCAGTCCAGTTATATTTTAAAAAATATAACTCTTATTTTATGTGAAAATCTCTTCAAATGTCTACTTTTCCAAAGGTGGGAATTTCCGTATATAATGATTTTTTTTTTCTTTATGGGGATGGGTTCTTCTTCTAGGGCTCTTATTGGACAATCGATACCTGCCCTGACATCTCCCGAAAGAGAAGACACCCTCCCGATGATGATGTAAGTCTCCACCTCAATGAGATGCCATTTATGAGCCAGCTGCTCCTTCCACATCTTTGTCTGCTTTTTCAGTCATTTCCTAAATTTGGGGCCAAGGTCAAATACCAGCAGGTGTGGAACCATTGGTCTTGGGAGGATGTTTAGCATCTGCTTATAGATTTCTCTTCTTTCACAACCCTCAGCTATCCCAGGACTCACCAGAACAGGAGGCAAGCAAGAGCCCACGGGGAGGCGTTCCAGGGAGTGGAGAAGCCTCACTGCCTCCCGAGGGGAATCCTCAGATGCCACTTCAGAGCCCCACATCTATCGCCAGCTACAGCCAGGTAGGAGGTGGAGGTGGCAGGGGATATAGGGATGGATGGATGGATGGATGGATGGATGGTTGAATAGATTCATATATCTGTTGGTTCAAAATTATGTGTTGAGTATCTGTGCTATGGTAGGCAGATAAATTGGGAAAGAAGGAGAAAGGGAAAGAGGGAAGCTGAGAGAGAGATGGAGAGAGAGAGACGACAAAGTTTTAAGAAAGATCAGAAAACAAGTGGTGAGAAGACAAGAAAGAGAGCCAAAAAGGTTATGAGAAAGGAAAGATGACTATGGATGTAGCACAGGAAAAGGGCGAGAAGCTACAGCAAGATAGGAACGAATGAGAAGAGAAGGAGAAAATGATGCTCATTCATTGAAAAGGTGGGAGAGGATGAAGAGGACAGGCAGAGAGCTTGGTGTCCACTAAGGGGTTGTATTGGTCCCTCACGTAGGACATGTATCGAGTCTTTCTTACCTCTTTCTGCAGGGCACAGGGTCTGTGGATGGCGGAGCAGTGGCAGCAGGGGCTCCAGGCCGAGAGAGCACCGAGGGTCCCCCTCCCCTGTACAACACCAACCATGACTTCAAATTCTCCTACTCAGAGATCAATTTTCAGGATCTAAGCTGGTCCTTCCGCAACCTCTACAAATCCATGCTGGAGAAGTCCTCTTCCTCCTCTCAGCATGGTGAGTCTGGAGTGGGGAGGGGAGCAGAGACGTCCTTGGGTTTTTGAACAGATGGGGACATTCTCTTCTTTCCCTCTTTTTCTTACTTGTAACACAAGGAGAGGTTGACCACTGGTCAGGGAAAGCATGTCATGAGCCACAACTGCGTGGAGTCAGAGCTCTTCTGGCTTAGTTCTGAAGGACAGCTGTTTCAAGAGGCGAGCTGGGTCATTAGTTTCAGTAAGTGAGTTGGAGGAATCCCCCATCTATTCGAACTAAGGGCCATGATTTTATGGCTGCCAGCAAGTCATTCTGAGGATGGCCACTAGGGGACAGCAGTAGTTTCCTTTTCCTAAGAATCCCTGCGTTTCACTGTGAGAACAATTTAATTTTATTTTTTAACGTATTTATGTTAATTTTTATTAGGAACAATTTCAAACAGATGCAAAAATAGAGAAAATAGTATAATAAACCCTCATATTTTCATTGCCCAACTTTACCAGTTACCGATATGTTAAGCTTGTTTTGTTTACCACCCAGCTTTTCTTTTAAATGGAGGAATTTAATGCACATCATTCTACTTGCAAATACTGGTTCAGTATGCATCCTTAATGATGAAGACTTTTCTTTTAGTTATGCATTGCCATGATGACTCCTAACACAGTAAATAATGCTTCCTTAATATCAGTTTATATCTCATCCATACTCAAATTTCCCAAATTACCATATGAGAATGATTTGAAGCTGTTATTGGGAGACTTTTTTTTTTTTTTTTTTTGCGGTACGCGGGCCTCTCACTGTTGTGGCCTTTCCAGTTGTGGAGCACAGGCTCCGGACGCGCAGGCTCAGCGGCCATGGCTCACGGGCCCAGCCGCTCCGCGGCATGTGGGATCTTCCCGGACCGGGGCGCGAACCCGTGTCCCCTGCATCGGCAGGCGGACTCTCAACCACTGTGCCACCAGGGAAGCCCCTATTGGGAGACTTTTTGAGAGATTGTCTTGTTCAGTGCTCTGTGATTCCTGTTTCTTAAATTTTTACTTTTTATTTTATTTTTACTTTTTATTTTTTTGCCACACCACATCGCTTGCGGGATCTTAATTCCCCGACCGGGGTTTGAACCCACGCCCCCTGCAGTGGAAGCGCGGAGTCCTAACCGTTGGACCACCAGGGAATTCCCCTAAATTTTTAAAAAGAATTTAGAGGTAGGGATGAAGTCAGGACTTTAGGTGAATCATGAGATCTTGTTCTGTCCAGTGGCCTTGGATAGGCGGTCGGAGATTAATGGAATGATAAAAAGTGTTTAGGGGCTTCCCTGGTGGCGCAGTGGTTGAGAGTCCACCTGCCAATGCAGGGGACACGGGTTGGTGCCCCGGTCCGGGAGGATCCCACATGCCGTGGAGCGGCTGGGCCCGTGAGCCATGGCCACTGAGCCTGCGCATCCGGAGCCTGTGCTCCGCAACGGGAGAGGCCACAACAGTGAGAGGCCCGCGTACCCCAAAAAAAAAAAAAAAAAAAAAAAAAGTGGTTAGGAGTCACTTTGGCGAAAATTGTCTTAATTGTCATTTATTGTCTTTTATATCCCAGGGGATTCCTATCTAGAGTTGTGTTGCTAGATTTCAGCATTTGCTTGAGAAATGAGTCCAACTCAGGTGATTTGGTTGACTGGAAGCAGGGAGCTTGGAGGGCTCCCAGAAACAAAGGGAAAAAATTAGATGGAGCGAGGACAGCAGACAGTTCACTCAAGTTTAATCACGGCTGAAGGCTGAAAGCCCGGGTCTCCATCTCAAGCTCTTCCCTGCCCCATCTGTTTGAGAAATTCATCCGTCCCCACTCTACTGCGTACCCAGACTCCGTTTTTCGTAGTGACTGCAAGAGGCAGAAGCGTGTAGGACAATAAGGAAAAGGAGAGAACAGAGGCCCATGGCTTTGTTTTATTTATAATTTGCTTTTGGAACTTTACCTGATGTCCGATGTCTTTTGAAACTGTGATTCCAGGACTACATCCCAGATCCTTGAAAAATAGCATGAAAAGGTGCATGCTGACCTTTTGGCTAAAATTTCAGCGGTTGTCGGTGCTGTCGAGGGCCTCCGTCTGTCGGTTATCCCTGCCGGGGCGGGGGAGGAAGGGGGCCCAGGGGACCCTGCTGTCCCAGAACGTCCCGTCTCCAGCCAGTGGACGTCCTGAGCGATGCGTTGCCCCGCTCACGTACCCGCTTCCCCCCCCCCCGCCCCCGCCCCTCCCCGCAGGCTTTTCGTCTCTCCTGGGGGACCTGCCGCCCTCTAACAACTACTACATGTACCAGCAGCCGCCGCCGCCGCCGCCGCCTCCGCCGCCGCCTCCGCAGCCGCAGCCGCCGCCGCAGCCGCAGCAGGCACCCGCCCAGGGCCCCTCCAATGTGGGCGGTGCGCCCCCCCTGCACACCCCAAGCCCAGATGGTTGTGCCCCACCGGGGGGGAAGCAAGCGGGGGCCGAGGGCTACGGGCCGCCCCCTGTGATGGCCATGCACCCACCCCCGCTGCAGCACGGCGGCTACCACCCTCATCAGCACCATCCCCCCACCCACCCTGCCCAGCCGCCGCCGCCGCCGCCGCCGCCACAGGCGCAAGGCCAGGCTCCCATCAACAGCACTGGCTTTGGTGAGTAGGGAGGGTGCAGGGAGACCCTAGAGGACTGCGGGTTGAGCCCCCTGTTCTGGCTCTGGCAGGAGGTGCGGCTGGCTAGGAAGTTTAACAGCGGGTCTTGTAGCCTCTCTCCCATGAGAGCTCGTCTGGGCCACAGGGGTTGCTGCTTAGAGCTCTGTATTAGAGAATTCTTGGATAAATTGGGATGGTTCTCCATATTCTTTTGCCCATGAGCTTGGCTGTCTGTAATTAAAGCATCGATAGCTTTGTTTGTCCTAAATCTCCAGGGAGGGAGAGTCCAAAATTATCTCGGTCATGCGGCTGCTAACCTACGGAGACGCAAGAATCTTGCATTCAGTAGTCAGTCTGCTGTCAGTTGGCGGCTCTCTTACCCCTCACTCTGTCTCATTACCACGCCCCCCTCTTTACAGCCTTTCCTCCTGACTGGTGCTCCAATATTGATTCCTTAAAGGAAAGCTTCAAGATGGTGAACCGGCTCAACTGGTCCAGCATTGAGCAGTCACAGTTCTCAGGTTAGTGATCGAAGGATGGTGCCTGGAGGGAAGAGGGATATAGCGGAAGTGGAAAAACCCAATGGAAACCAGAACCAGGAGGGGATGGTTAAGTGAAGCTTGAGGATGGAGGATTTCATGTTACACAAGGTGGATAATATTGATGCTCTCTTCAAGTTAGTTTTAATTAATTTCTGCCTTAATGCAAAATATGACGGTGGTTTATTCCACTGAGTTTTATCTTCAGGAGAACAAGACTCTCAGGAATTCATCACCCTGGACCACTATTTTGTAGTTTTGTCACCATTTACTGACCCTGTGACCACGGCTAATTCACTCAGTCACTTTGAAACTTATTCATCAGAAAGATGGAAATTATAATAAGAATTTACTAAGGAACCAAATGTAAAATAGGTAGCTAGTGGGAAGCAGCCACATAGCACGGGGAGATCAGCTCGGTGCTCTGTGACGACCTAGAGGGGTGGGATAGGGAGGGTGGGAGGGAGACGCAAGAGGGAGGGGATATGGGGATATATGTATACATACAGCTGATTCACTTTTTTATAAAGCAGAAACTAACACAACATTGTAAAGCAATTATACTCCAACAAAGATGTTAAAAAAAATTAAAAAAAAGAAAAGAATTTAGTAAGGAAGAAATGGAATGAGAGTTTGAAAATGTAGGACTCTAGCGGATGTCAATTTTTGGTAGCGCATGTAACCAGCAGTGTTGGTTGGCCGTGTAGTCGGAGCAGTGAGTCGGGTATAGAGCCGCTGGGGGCACTGGGGCGTCTGCAAGGCTAGCCTTTCTTGCTGCTCTGTTTGCAGAGCTGATGGAGAGTCTGCGGCAGGCAGAGCAGAAGAACTGGAGCCTGGACCAGCATCACATTGCCAATCTGTGTGACTCCCTCAACCACTTCCTCACTCAGACTGGTCACGTGCCCCCCCAGGGGGGCTCCCACCGGCCACCCGCCCCCGCCCGCATCGCTGATTCCTGTGCCCTCACTAGTGGCAAGCAGGAGCCAGCCATGAACCAAGGTACCGCACAAAGCAAGCTGCCAAGGAGGTGGAGACTGGATGATGAAAAGGAAGGGGGACGGGAAGGGCAGAAGAGAACTGAGAAACATCAGCTTATGAGCAGTGATCCAAATGCCAAAGAAATAGACCGTATGATTCCTTTTAGATCTTGATCTGGGAGGTCAGGGTTACTGAAGAAAAGGGAAGAGAAAGTCCCTGTTCCAAATTTGTGTCTCAGTAACCCTTCCCTGGATCGTAATTAGGTGGAGTTGTGATTCTCTACAGTTATATGGTCTTCAAACTGGTGAAGTAAGAGTCAATGATCACGGTTCTATATTTGTCATCCTTCTGATAGCTGTGATATTGAACTCCACTAGTATCGGGTCCCTTTGTGCCCTAAGTGGTGAGGACTGATAGCTTCTGCAGAAAGCCTTGATGCCCACAGGAGCTACAGAACAGAGCAGGGAAGGGAGAAGAGATGAAGGGGAGGAAGAGTACTTTTTTCTCCCTCTCTGTCTGACTCTGCTTCCTTGAATACGATGGTCCCACTCACTTAACTCTTGTCTTGCTTTGGCAGTGAACTCTTATGTGCACCCTCAAGCCCCCCACCTCTACCCGGGTCCATCACCAATGTACCCACTTGCCACCCAGGACTCAGCAGGATACAATCGCCCAGGTAAGAGCCAGGAAGCCTGTTTCACCACCAGCGAGTCGTTTGGCTTTCCTATGGCTCCGAACCTGCATTCTTGGCTCTTTTGCCTGCACCTGCTGGGAGGGGGTGAGCCTTCCTGATTCTCAAGGCTGGAGGGTGGTCCACCTGCTGGGGAGGTGTATGTCATGGGAGACTAAAGAAGACCGACTTACTTTAAAATGAGCTCGTGCCTGCAGTGATGAAAGGAAGTAGAAGCATGGCTATAAACAAAAGATAGACGTGTAGAACATTTACGCCTGGCTTCGGAATCTAAGTGGGAGGTACACTCAGACAAATGACATGAACATGTTATGCAAATGTACCTGCTTTGTGCCCACATCTGCCTTCTTGTCTTCCTGACCTCTAGTATCAGGGTTCTGGGATTGAACTACCTCTGATGGTGAGAGTAGGTGGGGAGACCCTAAATTGCCATAAATACTACAGAACGAACAGATCCTTCACCTTTAAATGCATTTGAGAAAAATCACTATTATCATGCTGCCTAACCACAGTGTTTTCAATTTTGGAGGTGATGTTCATCTCTTTGTCCAAGTATTCCTTTTCCGTGTGATTTACATACAAATTTCTGTATTGCTATTTCATGTAATAGTATATTCTGTATGTTTTTTTGTCATTATTATGTAGTCTTCCTAAGTATAATTTTTTTTCTTTTTTTTTTTGGCCACGCATCGTGGCTTGCGGGCCCTTGGCAGTGAAAGCGCAGAGCCCTAACCACTGGACCGCCAGGGGAGTCCCCATGAATATAATTTTTAATGGCTGCATACCGTGACATTGCCATGTGGCCTAATTTACTCTGAGTCTTTCCTGAGATCTCACTGAAGTGGTGGCCGGAAACAAAAATAACTCTGGGCTGATAAGGACCATAGTTTCCCCAGACCTTCCCCACGGTGGTGTTTGGGGTTGACCACCATCCGTCAAGATGGATAGAACGGCTTCCCATCCACTCTCCTTTTAATCTCCTTCTCTCTTCCCACAGCACACCACATGGTCCCTCGGCCGCCAGTTCCACCTCCTGGGGCCAATGAGGAGATCCCCGATGACTTCGACTGGGACTTGATTACCTAGTGCATCTGAGAGCCTGGCCATCAGCCCAGGGCTGGGTGGTGAAGTCTGGCAGTGGGGAAAGCACAGTCCCAGCCCACCCCTTCCGCCCTTGCCTGTATATAGATATATATCCTCTTTTTTTTTTTTTCTTTCTCTGCCAGAGAAGCCACCGCAAGATGCTGCCGAAGATAACCCCCTCTTTTCTGCCTCATTCTTCCTCTTCCTTCTTGTTTTTTTCCTAATTCTTTTATTATTATTCTTATTATATTATTATTCTTATTATTGGTTATATGCTGTCTCCAGTCTCCTGTCCCTCCACCATGGACCACGTCCACCTCTTGCTAATTTAAAATCATCTGGCTGGAAGGTGAGGCCATGAGAGCCGCAGAGAAGGGTCTCAAACTTTGATTTCCTTTTCGTTTTGGGAAAGTCAGCGCTAGTCCCACCTTTCAGCCCCACGTTGTTTTCTGTGGATATCCGTTGGATCCAGGACTGGAGAAGCCACGTTATCAAGTAGAAGGGATCTAAAACACTGCTTGGCAACCATGAATTTGCAGGTTTTACTCAATGGTGCTAATTTTGTCCTCTGAGCTCTTCCTTGTCCCTTTATCTCTCCAATCCTACTTCTGCTGACCCTCATTCCCCATCAAGGGTGAGCGTGATGGTGGTGGCAATAAAATCCTAGTGGAATAGGAGGTCTGGGTTGGGTCGGGTAGAATATCATAGAGGGGTGATGGAATATAAAACAGTCAGAAATTGCGTCTGTGCTACTCTGTCAGATAAACTGCCATTGGCTTATTCCTGGCCTGTTCTCTGTAGGAGATAGAGTCGGGCTTAGCCAGAACTCTGCTTCTCTGGTGGAAATGAGGACAACTCTTCAGCATAAGGTTCAGCTTTTTGGAGATGGTTTCAGTTGAACCATTCTGACTTCTTAAACATCATTTTCTCTGGAAATCAACTGTGGCTTTTATTTGCATTTACCAATTATCCTTTCACCCCCTTATCTCATTCAGCAAATATTATTTTGTCCTCCTTTAGTTGTCTACTCATCTCTTCCACCTATGGTATTTTCTTCCCCCATTTTCTGGCATTCTCAAGAAAGGAGAGTAACCCATAACTCCTTGTAGTCTCACCACAGCCTAGGGCAAGACGGGAATCTCTTTCCCACCCATCATAGCAGAACCAAACCTACGGTACTGGTGGCAGGAGGGTGCGGGGAGGAGAGGGGAGCTGGCATAGACATGGGTGGAGAATATTTCAGTTATTTAACAATGTAGGCAAATGCTTCTCTTGGAATCCAGATCGTTGGGGCTGAGGCTTTTGCAATCAGGCTTTTGAGGGGTGAAGGGAAATTGGTAGAGGGGAATAAGTAACCTAAAGCAAAGAGTTCCATGAGGGCCAAGGGAGACCGCCCCCGCCCAGAGAAAGGTACAGGGATAACTTAACCTCCTTTAACAAGGAGTGGCCATGATGTATTGCTTCAGAGTACTTAGTGTATATTCGATATTAGTCATTGAATCTTAGTCATGAGAGGGAAGAACAATTTTACTTCCGTTTTTATTTTGCTGAATGTTTACTTTCTCAAAGCTGCAGGACAAAATGTACCGAATGGACAAGGCCATTCTCTCTGTGATTTCTGCTTTGTGCTCATATTCTTTTATTTACCCATGCTTTCTGCTCTCCTGCTTGTCCCCCTCATCCGCCCCTTCCTTTCTTTGTAAGGGATGCTATATGAGTTTGTTGAAGACGTCCAGTGAGGCTGAAGTCAGGGAGCAAGAAAGGGCAGTTAACTAAACAGCACTTTATTTCTTTGAAGTTCTTTGTAAGAAGTAGGGGTGTGAGTGGTGTGAATCCCCCATGGTGTCGGAGGGCAGTTAGTGGGGTTGAAGTATGCCGTAAGATTTCCCCTTGGGGAAGGGAGAATTTCTCTTGAGGGTGGTGACACGCCTTTGCCCAGTGTCCTTATCTGAGGCGTGTCTTCCTTACCCTTCCAGTCAAGGTGCCTCCTACATACAACGTCCCATCTGTTCTCCTTAAGATTCCCCCTTGACAAATCATCACTCTTTTCTAAACCCCTTTTCTACCCAGATCCATATAGGATTTGCAAGGGTAGACTAAATCAGACATGTAAATGTCTCTTGTTTATATTTCATCTGTGTCTTCTGAAAACGAGGGTCATTAAGAACTCTGGCAGGCAGCCGGAGTAACTGAAGTCTGGGGATAGGGCTGGAGATTGGCCGTCAGGCCTTCTGGGATTTTAGCTCCTCTCCACTAAACCCAGCCTTGCTAAATGGCACAGGACAAACCTGACCCTCTTTGGGCCTCGGTTTCCCCTACCCTCCATGAAATGGAAAGAATCCTACTTTGTCTTGTTGGTCCAGCATTGCTGGCCGTGAAAGTTTTGTCATTGTTGTTGTCTTGGGTGATGTGTGCAAAACTGCAGGAGCTCACTGCCTAAAAGAGGAAGTAAGGGAGAAAGTGGAGGAGAGGGATGGAAGGAGCAATTCGTTGGTATTGATCCGCCCATCCCTGCCTTTCTCTCTTCAACCCCCACGTTTCTGGTTTGGTGAGTCCTTCATACCACCCATGATGCTTTGCATTGGTGCAGGCTGGGGCGGGGGGTGTATGGTCTCACAAGTTGTTGTTGTTTGCATGCTTTCTTAATAAAAAAAAAAAAAGAATGTTTATGGTTTTATCTTCCTGGCGCTGGTCTTAAATTTGTTTTTGCCAGGGTAGGAAAAGAGAAATGTGAAAGCATTTGTCTTCTACTGCCCCTCCTCACCACCCCTCACTGGGTTTGATTAGTTGACCCTGACATTCTTGGTAAGATTGATGGGAAAAAAGAATTAAAAGCATGCCTTTAACATTCTTTTTTTCAAATGCTATTAAATATAGCGAAATATTGTTGGGAGAGGCAGTCCCCCCTTGCAGCTTGATGTGTGGGCTAAGCCATCTTGCTTGCCTTCTGGGATATTTTAAAGATTAAAGATACTACAATTTGAGGAAGACTTGGGTCCCCCTCTGGGACTTCCAGTGAACACTTACAGGTACTCGCCAGAGGTTTTCATTGGAAATGAGGGAATTCCAATGGTAAGGATTTCTTCAGAATACATTTCCAGGGTAAATAGAACTCTCAAAAGGAATCCAGAAATGTCAACTATTGAACTATTGAATCTTTATAACTATGCCAGAATCATTCACCCTGGTATCCTATACAGTAACCCTAGAAGTTAGGGACTTATACCCAGGGTCCCATGAGAAATGTTGGGATTTCCAGAAGCCCAGCTAATCATCATTATAGTAAGCCTACAGCTACCCACTATGAGATTTATATTTGCCGTATGTTTAGAGATTATGATATATTCTGAGAGTCAAACAGTTAAAAGGATCCATGAATCTCTCAGCCTTGCAAGGAAACATTCAGAAAGAAAGCATTTATTCACATCAAATATATGATCAGATTAAATTGGAAGGTAGCATGGCAAATCTCACATCATGTCAGATATCATTACTGCACAACTGAAAGCATTCCTAGTGATTTGACACTTTTCCACATAGTACTTTATAACTTATTTGTAGTCCAGACCCTCCCCTCAACCACTGAACAAAGGATAGTGCCTTGTAAAGTCTAAGACATCTCATTTTCTATTTTTCGGATTAAATCACTGTACACAGGTGGAGCTATGTTGTAGTACAAACAAAACCTGAAAATTTAGAGGTTTAACACATAAAACTTTATATACAGAGAAAAATGAGAAGGTGATGGGGGTTTAATAATGTTTTCTGAAAAAAATGAAAGAGAAAGAGAAGGGGGGTTGGAATGGGTCGACAAAGTAGAAGAAAATGTGTGATCGTGAACAAATTTAAAGGATGATGGGTAATGAATATTGGGATGCTGAATAAACAAAAAATACGAATGTGTTTGGATAAAAATCGTCATCTTTCAAAACAAGAAGTCATTTTATCACGTCTACAAAAACTAGCAGCATAAGGTCATGACTTAGAAATATCATGGTGAATATCAGAGGAAACATCTAAAATCGTTTCAAAGGTTATCCCTGGGAAGTGGGAGTGGGAGGAAGGAGGGGCTGGGCAGAGTGGGGCAGGAAACCTGTTAGATTTCATTATAAGCCTTAGGTTCTCTTTAAGTTATGTGCATGTATTACTTTGGTAAAGATAAAGATTAATTAAAAAAAAAAACCCAAAGATATATCTGGTAATTACGGCATGAAAGATACACACCTACAGTCATGTTTTCTTTTAAAGTTGGATAACGTGCCCAGAGGGTACTCAGTTACATTGCAGTGAATTCAAGAATAACTGCCCTATCCTCCACCGTCTTTCTCCTTTCATTTGAAATGAGTTTCTTGGAAAGTACCAATGTGGAGCTAGAGGAGGGGAGTAATTTGCATCTTATGAAACTATTGGTTATTAGAGGCATAAAGTCTGGAAGAAGATTTAGAGGCAGGGGAGGAATAAGGGAATTAAGGAGCTTAAGAAAAGGAATGAAAGAGAGATGATTCTATCAATAGGCAGATAGAGCAAACAGAGGGAAGAGAGAAACTCCCCGAACTGTGGCTTACATACTGTTTCATGAGAAAGTCTTTAGATGCCTAAGTAGTCTGTCTTTACACAATAGATGCTTATTTAGTTGTAATAATGGAAACTCAGAATTCCTACGTCCTGTATCCAGGAGTATTCCAAGTTGCAGGCATCTGGCATTGTACTCTGCTCCAGACTCAGACTCATAACTCCTTGTTTTTATAGACTTTCTTTTTGCACCTTTTTTTTTTTTCATTTAAAACTATCACCACCACCATCACCACAACAAAGCCATAGAATAAATGATCACCTTTCACTCAGGTAGGACTAGAAGAAATGGTTTTAACTTGAATCTGGAAGGAAATTAGAAAGAAATTTAATGATGGAAACATTTTAAAGGAGACTGCCTTCGCATTTATTTCACGTGGCTTTGTTTGAGATAGAAATAGACTAATTTTTACAATGCTTCCCAAATTTAGCATTCATCCGAAACAAGGGAGCTTGTGAAAACACTGTCTGAGCCCCACCCCCAGAGACTGATTCAGCAAGTCTCTGGTGGGGCTGGAGAATTTGTATTTCTATCAACTTTCCAGGTGATACCGATGCCACTAGCCTGGGACCACACTTTAAGACCCTCTGGATTGATTCTCTGACAGTTTCTGAAATCCCCTGCTCCCTATCTCTGTCGTCTTTTTAGAAATATGATGCGCTGGGTGAATGCCTAAGAACCTCTGGTTGGGTCAACTGCTCCATATTTTCACACAACTGTACCGATGCTGTTTTTTTCCAAAGAGACCTTGTTTGGGGGGCAGCTGGTAGAGTGTGTCAAGTCCTCACTGAAAGCTGCCTCCAGAATTCCCTGCATGGACTGTCTTGCTTTTTTCCTAAAATCTTTCCCCAGAAGGGCATAGAGGAAGGGATTGAAGCAACTATTGGCAGATGCTAAAGCAAGAGACACATGGTCCCAGGACAACAGAGCTTCCCCAAAGGGAGTTTCTGGGTCAATAAACAGTAAGAGGGTTCCAACAATGTGGTACGGAGCCCAGCAGACGAGGAAGACAGCCACCACCACCATAGCCACTCTCAAGGTTTTGCTCCGAGACTTGGTGAAGCGGCTCCAACGCATTCGGAAGATAATGAGGCTGTAACAGGCCACCATGAGGATAAAGGGTAACAGGAAACCCAGCACTAGCCTAGTGATGGTTATTGCTACCTGGGGTGTTGGCACTTGATGGCCGTATGCAAATTGGCCTAAATCATCATCCTGGAAATCTTCCAATAGCTCCGATGTGTATGAGGAGTTGCCGGAGGCACTAGCGAAAAGGTCTAAATCAGCAGGAAGAAGAGCCTCAGAGTTCTCCAGTGGGTTAGTTCTGCGATCTTCAATGGGAAAATCACTGGGGATTGTAGCTGAGAGCTCATCAGCTGGCTTAAATACATTATCATATGGATGTTGAACAGATAATCTAGCTGAATCCGTAGGGGGTGAATGTCCAGAAGTTCTTTGAGATATTTGAGAACAGAGGCCAGCAGTGGCTGCCCAGGGACAAGCATTTGTTTGTTGAGAGAAAGAATCTAACCGATCATCCATTTCTTCAGGCAGCTCAACAATGGAGCTGTCAAGAGACCCGTTTTCCAGTAGATCAAAGTTGAAGTCTGAATAATCTAATGATCTGTAGAGACCAAAATTGTAGCCACACATACTATGGTTGTCTATAGTGAATGTTTCCCGGTATATGAACACAGGTATGCACATTACAAAAGCCACCACCCAGATACATCCACAGATTGTGAAGGCTGCCCCCACGTTGCGATGATTCTGGCACCAGATTGGCTTGAGTACCAAAAGACAGCGGTCCAGGCTAATGGCGGTCAGCAGGAAGACGCTGGCAAACATGTTGAGGACAATGGTGGAGGGGATGAGCTTGCATAGGAACCAGCCGTAGGGCCAGCGTCCGTGGAGAGCCAAGTGGACCAGGGAGAAGGGCAGGGAGAGGCAGCAGAGAAAGTCAGCCAAGGTGAGATGGAGAAACCAAACCGTGCTCACACTTCGTCGCATCTTTAGGCCAGCCACCCACAGCACCAGCCCGTTGCCTGGCAATCCCAGTAGGAAAGTGAAACTGAGAATGACCATGGAGAGAATTACTTGGGGTTCATCCCAGGGCTGTGATGGTAGGTCAGTTGAATTGGTCTCCGCAGAGAAAGACTCCATTGCTAAACTTTTATAAAAATATAAACAAAAATGTTAAAACTAACTTAAAAAAATGCATATTCTTAGAATTCTAACCTCCCCACATAAAGATGTAGAGTCACAAAGACCCTCACACTGTTTTAGTTTTATTTTCTGACTTCACATTGGATTACACAAAAGCATTCTCTGAAAGACAATTTAAAATCTACTGTATTGACATAGAGAACAGACCTGCGGTTGCCAAAGGGGGTGGTGGGGGAGGGGAGTATTGGGAGTTCGGGATTAGCAGATGCAAACTAGTGTATATATAGGATGGATAAACAACAAGGTCCTACAGTAGAGCACAGGGAACTATATTCAATATCTGTGATAAACCATCATGGAAAAGAATATATATTTATAGCTGAGTCATTTTGCTGTACAGTAGAAATGAACCCAACATGGTAAATCAACTATACTTCAATAAAATTTTAAAAAATTTTTTCTTTTTTGGCCGTGCCCTGCACCCCCTGTGGGATCCTAGTTCCCCGACTAGGGGTCAAACCCAGGCCCTCGGCAGTGAAAGCTCAGAATCCTAACCCCTGGACCACCAGGGAATTCCCTCAATCATGTCTTTTAGATACAACCTCATTTTTCCTTTTGCTGTCAAATTTATCAAGAGTTGTTTTCCCTCTTTGCGTTGATTTCCTTACCACTCATCATTTCTTTCTTATTTGTTTTTTATGAGTATAACTCGAGAAAAATAGCTTGATTATTGCAGAGACAGAAATCATTCATGGAGATAGGGAATTCCCTGGCGGTCAAGGGGCTACGACTCCACGCTTCCACTGAAAGAGGCGCAGGTTCCACCCCTGGTCGGGGAATTAAGTTCTCGCAAGCCACTTGGCATGGCCAACAAAACAAAATAAAACAAAAAAAGAAATCATTCATGAAGAAACTTAGAAAACATAAGCAAGCAAAAATAAGAAAATAAAAATGTCATATACCACTAGTCAGGGATTACTATTTTAGTATCTTAATTTACATCCTCCTGGATCTTTTTTCACATACATACATGTATATGTATGTATATTTTTTGTTAAGCAAAATTTAACAAAATTAGATTATACTGTGCATATTGGTTTAAAATTTTTTAAAATTGTGGTGAAATACATATAACATAAAACTTACCATCTTAACTATTTTTAAGTGTACAGTTCAGTAGTGTCAGGTATATTTACATTATTGTGCAGCCAATTTTTAGAACTTTCTCATCCTGTAAACCCGAAACTCTATACCTATTAGAAAACAACTCCTCACTTCCCTTTCCCCGCAGCCCCTGGCAATCACCATCCTACTTTCAGTTTCTATGCATTTGACTCCTCTAGATACCTCATATAAATGTAATCCTACAGCATTTGTCTTTTTGTAACTGGCTTATTTCACTTGGCAAAATGTCCTCAAGTTTCATCCATGTTGTAGTGTGTGTCAGAATTGTCTTCCTTTTTAAGACTGAATAATATTCCACTGTATGGATGTACCACATGTCGTTTATCCATTCATCTGTCGATGGACATTTGAGTTGCTTCCACATTGTAGCTACTGTGGATAATGCTGCTATGAACATGGGTGTAAATGCATATTGTTTTATATAAACTGCTTTCTTTTATCACTTCTATCAGTTAGCAGTCTCCACATTATACAGTAAGATTGTACCGTAAGGAATACTCAGACTTTATCCATTTTTTCCAGCTGTCCCCGAAACAATCCTTTACACCTGATTTGTCAACAATTATATCCAGTCTAGGATCACACTGCAGCAGGATGTTTCTTAAGTCTCTTAATGTAGCATTGTTTCTCTTCTTCAAGGATACTGGCTTGTTTTGGGGTCTGTTGTTCTCTCCACTCACTTCACAGCCCTTTGTAATTGCCCCATCATGCTGCTAAAACTAACTCTAGATAACAAACCCAAGCATCTTTTTCTCTGTCTTTATCCTCCACAATATCCATGTCATTTGATACGCTGGCTTCTTAACACTTTCTTCTCTTGGCCTCTGTGACATTACCCTTCCCTGATTTTCAACATTCCCATAAACATACCCTACTTTATAGCTTTCCTGAACAACTCACTATTCCAAGTCAATACGATTTTCTATTCCTTGACTATGCTGTTTACTTCTATATGGAATTATATCCTCCACCTTAACCTCCTCTTTCCTCCATTCTTAATCTCTATCTGTTGAAATCCTAGCCATTCTTTAAGATCAAGCTCAAATATATCTTCCTTGAAACTTCTCTTATAATCCCAGTCATAATCTATTTCTTCAGCCTCCCAGTTTTGGGTGTGTGGGGGGGTTGAACTTCTTTTCATATTCTCTGTGCAATGATGCATTTCATCTTGTACTATAATTCTTTTTGTGGCTGTCTTATCTATCATTCTGGCCTTAAGTTTCATAATGGTAAAAAAGAATCTTGCTCCTAAATGCTCGTTCCGCAGAATTTAGCACAATTAAAGATTACTTGAATGGATAGATGCTCATTTTGGGGGTTAACTTTTTTTCTTTTTCAACTAAATGAAAAATTCTTATGCTTGTCCATTTAATCCAGTAAGGATGCTGTCTCTTCTAACTTCCTTTTTTGTTTTCCAGTTCCTAATTCTTACTGGCTGTAACAGCATTTTATGTTTCCTTTTGTAGAAGTCCAAAATACTGTGTGACTTGAAGCTGTTCTGCTGAGTTTACAAGCTGCCATGGGGATTAGCAGAAGTTAAAATAACTAAGACAACAAAATACTAAAAAAGAAGAAGTGATTCTCATTCTCCGTTCGGTAACCTTGCTTATTCCAATATTCAAGTCCTGTCAGGGTCACTTCCTTCGCTTTTGTATGTGGCAGCTACCCTGATCCATTGTCCTACACACATATTCACGCATAGACCCATAAAATATTGAGAGACCGATAGTCATAGAATTCTAGGACTGAAAGGAAAGTTAGCAATCATCTCTTCTTGTCTCTATTTTTATTTTGTAGTTTTGGACACTGAAACTCAGCAAATTAGGGGACTTTTACATATTCACAACAAGGAGGGTTGTCATATCCTTGGTCCAATGACTGTCAGGCCAATACTCTTTTTACTACAAATAATCACATAACTGAAAAGCCTTTGGTATTGCTAATAAAGGGAAAGGCACCAAGAGCCGCACAATAATAAAGAATAATAAGGAAGTGATAAAGATTGAAAAGAGCAAAATTCCAATACAAAGAAATTGAGTCATCTGGCGTGAGCTATATTTTAAATATTACATAGTATCTGTCTTGAAATGAAAGTATATATGAATCAGAATCTTAAAAATCTTTCTGGGCAAGATAACATTTTATATTTCGACAAGTGTTTTGGCTGAAAAGTACCTCAACTTTTTTTTTTTTTTTTTTAGTTTTCAATACTGAATTGGCCAACAAGTAATTAAAAAGATAAGTAAACTCCTGAAACCAAAATTCAACTATGATAGGGAAAGAAAAATAGATTCCAGAATCAGAACTAATGATATGATGACAGAATCAGTAGCAATAAGGAATGAGCAAAATAAATAAATAAGAGAAATGGAATGAGGAAAAAAAATATATATATTAAGAAAAAATAGGCAGGGGCTTCCCTGGTTGTGCAGGGGTTAAGAATCCACCTGCCAATGCAGGGGACACGTGGTCAAGCCCTGGTCTGGGAAGATCCCACATGCCGCGGAGCAACAAAGCCCGTGCGCCACAACTACTGAGCCCACCTGAAGCCCACGCGCCTAGAGCCTGTGCTCTGCAACAAGAGAAACCACCGCAAGGAGAAGCCTGCGCACCGCAGTGAAGAGTAGCCCCTGCTCGCTGCAACTAGAGAAAGCCCACGCACAGCAACAAGACCCAATGCAGCCAAAAATAAATAAATTTATTTAAAAAAAAAGAAAAAATAGGCAATCGATGATTTGGAAAACAAAACTATTGGAGAAAGCTGGAATCAAAGGTGAGAAGGAGAAACAGCCAGTTTAAGACAGGGAAAAATGATGTAAAAATTCAATATCAGTTCCAGAATGAAAATATTAAGAACAGAGGTAAATAGAATGTGGAACATTTAGAAAAAGAACAAGGTGGACATGGGAATAAAGCAAAAGAAATAAAAGTTGGGGAAGGAATAAGGGGAAATAGAAAATAATGACTCTCAAACCGTTATCAATAATGAGCAAAACAAGCTGGGCACAAGTCCTCAGGTGTATCTAGGTTTCCTTACCAAAAACCCGAGATAGTAGCTGAAGACTTCAGCATGGATCTGGAGGTCTGCACGAGTCCTGTCTTGACCACAGTCAAGTATGTTTAGGAAATTTGCTGAGCACCTCCTCTTTCCTCTCTCTCTTCGTTTCTGATGATAAACCCAACACTTTTGACAACTATCGGACTCCACAGAAAGAGTTTCAAAGTGAGTCATTTCTAAATGTTTCATGTAAGAAAAGTAAGAAAAACAGAAGTGGGAGAGCATGGTTCTCAAAGATTTTCTGCAGGACACAGAGTATGCTTAGAGAGAGAGTACTTTTTACATCAGCTTCCCACACTATAGGTTTTTGGATTTGCTTTGTTTTGGAAATGCACAAAAATGATCCTATGGTATGTGAGAGTGGGGGTGGGGAGCAACTGGGGGGAATGACCTGCACAACCCCATGTCATGAATTTCAAGTAACATCTCTTATATGCTTAAGTTTGTCGTGCAAAAATCAGATGAATTAAACTATGTTCTAATCTCTAGAGATTCACAGTCTGGTGAGAGTATGTACCCATACAACAACAACAAAAAACACCTGTAATACAATTCAGACTATGATGATAGAAATAGCAGTAGAAGTAAAAGAGTAGAAAATAACATGTAGGGCTGTATTTAGCCTGGGGCAATCTAGGAAAGTCTTAAGGTAGAAATAAGGTCTGGGCAGGTTCTTCAAGAATTATGGGACTTCTCTAGAAAGAGGTGACAAACTGTTTACTTTTACTATCTTTATTATTATTATTTTTTTGGCCATTTCAGGGCATGTGGGAATCTTAGTTCCCCGACCAGGGATTGAACCCCTACCCCCTGCAGTGGAAGTGCAGAGTCTTAACCACTGGACCACCAGGGAAGTCCCCACATCACACTTTTTAAATTATTCTATATTATACCATTTAGTCAATTATTCCCCTTTTCATGGATATTCTGTTTTTATCAAATTTTAAAACAGTTATAAACAATGTTTCCATGAGTACTCTTGCATTCTACACATCTATGAAAATTTCTGTAGAATAGTTTCCTAGGACTGTAATTGCTAAATCTATGTATGTGAATTTACATTTTTGAAAGGTATGGCATTTCCCACTAAAGAGACTCCACCAATTTACACTTCCATCAATGGTGGCAAGGGTATCTATTCCATTTGCAAAAGGTAAGGTCTTTATCATTAAGTTCAGTATCATAAACAAGTACTCTGCTCTTAATATAGACACTATGCTTTGCACTGTAGGAGATGCAGAAGCAATGAAAGATGTAAATATATAATTATAATTGAGTAAGGGCTGCTAGCAGGGTAGTCCTGGCAACATGGAAGAGGGAAAGACATTCTCACTGAAACAAACATGAAGATAATGCACTGAAGAGATAACACTTGAGCTGGGCTTTAAGGCTGGGTAGAAATTTGACAGACACTAATAGTGCTATAAAATAATTTATCTGTCTCTCTGCCCTACTAGACTAAGAGTTTGTGCCTATCTCCAGAGCCTGCTACCATGCCTGGAATAATACATGTCTGGGGCACCAATGAATGAATGAATGAAAGTTTGGTTGAAAAGGATGTTGGCTTTTGAATATAATTCAAGGAATTAATTTGAGTCTTTAAAGTTGTTTCTGGTGTGGATCCAGTTTTACTGATTCCTCTTTCTCTAAAGATTATACAGCAATTAAAACCAGTTGGAGAACTTCCAGCTGTATTACTTGGATTTTCAGATCAGGAAGGAAATGACTGAAAACACCTTGTGAATAGGGCTCCTATTTCTAGATGGCTTCTGTCCCTTCTTATAAAGTACTGGTTTTATGGTGTAATGTGGAAAACTCGGGGGGAGTTTATGTGATTCTCTTCTGTTTTGTTCCTTTTTAATATCTAATTACAAGTTTCTAAGCAGAGATCAGATGCTTTGGCAAGAGTGAAGTTTTGAATATATGTTGCAAACACAGCCATATTAAAACATTTTATGAGTCACTGATTAATTCTACATTTTCAATGATGGAAATCTGTAGTCATTTGGCCAAAATAAAAATTTTAGAATTGTATAATCTCTAGCCTGCTCTGTCTGAGAGAATTAAAAATAAATATATGACAAAGTTTCTGTCCTTAAGGACTTTGACGAAAAATGATTAGATTCATTAGTAGACCAAGTATAATTATACTCTAAGTGAAAAAATAACCAAGTGCCAAAAACTATGGATGACATAGACAAATGCTATGGCTAGCTAGCAAAGGACAAATCTGATGAAACCTGGTGGAGGTTAGAATTAGCTGGAAAATTTTCATGGAAGAACATTCTTGTGAAAACTGCTCTAGATTAGGAATCTGAGTTCTAGTTTTAATCATAACTAAATACTTGACCTTGGGCTGGATGCTTGACCTAGAATTTTTTTCTTAGATGTAAAATTAAAGGGTTGGCTCGTGTGATCTTTAAGGTTTCTTTTACATCTAACAATCTATAATTCTCCCATTTCAAGTAGGGGGAAAACACACATTAAGGTGGAGGGAAGCCCAGCGTGAGTGAATGCCGCAGGTAAAGTGGTCTGGCTGGAGTAAAAAGCACACAGGGAGCAATAGAAGGTGCGTAGAGCCTGAGCTTGAAGCCCAGCTCTGCCACTGACTAATTGTGTGGCTGCACAGGAATTTTTCAGACTCTGTGTTTTCATTTCCTCACCTGCAAAACAGGGATTGTGTCGGGTTTTATTTATTGATACTCAGGCCCATTCCCATTCTTCCTTATTATTTCTCTAAGTGAAGCCTGGGTACTGCATTTCCGAGACTGCCTCTCAGGCAGGGTCTGCCTAGGCTCTGCCAGAGGGGCATGTTCATGTGCTCTTGGAAAGTGAAGAGAAAAGGGAATCATTGCATTTGATTCTTTTTCTTGAGATTAATTTTTATTGGAGTATGGTTGATTTACAATATTGTGTTCATTTCTGCTGTACAGCAAAGTGAATCAGTTCTACATATACATGTATTCACTCTTTTTTAGATTCTTTTCCCATGGAGGCCATTAAAGAGTATTGAGTAGAGTTCATTGTGCTATACAGTAGGTCCTTATTAGTTATCTATTTTATATATAGCAGTGTGCGTATGTCCACCCCAATCTCCCAATTTATCCCTCCCCACCCTTTCCCCCTGGTAACCGTAAGTTTGTTTTCTACATCTGTGACTCTATTTCTGTTTTGTAAATAGGTTCACTTGTACCATTTTTTTAGATTCCACATATAAGTGATATCATATGATATTCGTCTTTCTCTGTTTGACTTACTTCACTCAGTATGACAATCTCGAGGTCCATCCATGTCTCTTCAAATGGCCTCATGTCATTCTTTTTTATGGCTGAGTAACACTCCATTGTATATATGTACCACATCTTCTTTATCCATTCCTCCGTTGATGGATGTTTAGTTTGTGCAGAGTTTGCAAATATGTTTTAAAAATAAAAGAACAGAACCATAAAATAGAATAAACATTAAAAATATTAAAATATAAAAGAGAGAGATTGAAAGGGGCATCATTTATCTTCTGGCTCCTTCAGCAGCAGACAACTCTGGTGGGTTTCTGTAACACAGATGGCAGGTGTGACCTTGGCAGCTGCGGGCAACTGTGGGCTCTGGCAGGATTGCTGGTTTCAGTAGCAGCTACAGCCCTGTGAGTATTTCTTTTCCAATTTTAGGGAAGTACCTTCCTGAAGTTATATTATCTTCTCCCCCTTTATTCCTCTAGTCCTTCCAACACTTTTGCAACCAAGTCCTTGTATTAAATACCTTGTTTGAAATACCTACAATGGTTTCTGTTTTCCTGGCTGGGCAATGACAGTCGGGGAATATTGACTGTACCTACTCTATAGGACTGCTAGGAGTAAATAAATTAATACATGCAAAGCACTTAAGACACTGCTGGCACATAAGCATTCAATAAATGTTAGCAGTTATTAGGTCAAAAAACTAATGTGGCTTCCAGTTGCCTATCATATCAAAACTATTCTCCCATCTTGGACTCTTAGAAAATAATTTACAGAATGTTCCCTTTACATTGTTAAGTTACATCCTTTCTGTCGAATCAAATTCTAACCCATAGCCCTCAAGGATGTAGATTTGACACACTCTCTACTCCCTATGGTATAGCTGCCTAATTATGCACATAGTTATAATAAAACAAAGAGCACAAACTGAAGAACAAAGTCACCCAGAAATTAAAGTAATTCAGTCGAAAGGTAAATAAAATAAAACAAACAAAAAACTGTTAATCCAACCATAATAACAAATATCTGATGAACTGATGCCTGGATCTTGAAAGAATCCAGCCAAATTTGGCATGATGAATCATTCAAATCTGAGTGGTTTAAAGAAAATTTAGCAAACTTTGTTTCTTCTATTGATTTATTGATGATTGATTTTCTTTTATAATATGTATCCAGGGCAGTCAGCCAAGGAAGGGAGATTGAAGGGGAAGTAAACTGTGTGTTTCATGAACACCCTTTGTGACTTTAGTTCCATGAAACCCAAAATGGACCAGGGACTAGGTTTCAGTTTGTGTTTATCTGATCTAATGAGAAGGCATAAGAAAAATTTGCAGGGGGGACAGAATTCAGGATTATCGAGGGGTAGATGGCTCTCATAAATGTTTTAAGTGTAGATAAATTTTTGAGTAAATTTTGATGGATTTTTTAGATTAGCTATCCTATTTGTGAATTATTTAGAAAATGTCTTCTCCGTTTCATTTATCCTTTGCCTTTTCTTCCCCATTTCACTTCCACTAGAATGTGGGCAAAGAAAGTGGTAATACAAAATGATGCTGGGTTGAAAACCACCCAGTTTTTCCTTCTGTGCAGGGAAAACCACAGGTCTCCACCTCCCATGTGTCTCCTTTACTTTCACACAGGACACTTCACTTCTGACACTTGTGGTCACGAAATGTGTGTGTTTTTTCCCCCCCACATCAAACAATTCTGCACCATCAGCTGGGAGTCCTACAATTTAACTCAATTCTAACACTACCTGCCTGGAGATAGCGTCACATCCCACAGGTTAAGGGCTGAGTTCCACAAGACTGCTCCCCACTTCAGATGCCAATTGCAAGCTGTAGATCCCCAGGTTACCC